AATGAAAATACTGGAATCATAGAATATCCTGAGTTGGAAGGGATCCACAAGGATCATAGAGTCCAACTCTTGGTTCCACACAGGATCACCCAAAAATCAGACCGTATGTCTGAGAGTGTTGTCCAAACGCTTCTTGAGCTCTGGCAGGCTCAGTGCTGTGACCACTGCCCTGGGAAGCCTGTCCCAATGCCCAGCTGCTCTCTCAGTGCAGAACCTTTCGTTAACACCCAGCCTGACCCTACCCTGTCCCAGCTCCACGCCATTCCCTCGGGTGCTGTTGCTGTCCCCACTCCACTTGTGAGGGAGCTGCAGGCCGCCATGAGCCCTCCCCTCAGTCTCCTCTGCTTGGGGCCAAACACACCAAGGGACCTCGGCCGATCCTTGTACGTCTTGCCCTGTAGACCCTTCACCATCTTTGTTGCCCTACTTTGGACACTCTCTAAAAGATTCATATCCTTAAACAAAAAATGGAGGTTATTTCCATTTTTTCTTTGCTGCCTACTTAGGCTGTTGGGTATTTGGATGTAAAATAGAGATTTTTCCAGATCTGACAACTGCAAAATGAAGCCTTGATCTTGAATGGGGCCTGTACGCAACACTGCAATGTAACAAAGTTAGTCGTTTGACATGGTAATGCTACAACTTGGTGTGTGTATTTTAAATGAGGAGACACCTACAGTGTCTTCTATAGCTCCTGGGTCAAGGAGCTTTTGTCAAATGGGTCAGATGAAATCTGCTCCTTTGTATCATCGCAGGCCCAGTTCCTCTAGACACTATATAAACAGTATCTTGAGAGTTTATAGTCATCAGAAATTGTCTCGAAGAAGAATTTTGGTTCTCCAAGGGGAAATCTTTGCTTTCTTAATGCTGCTGCTAAAGGCCTGCCTACAGCAGTAGCTTTGCCATCCTCTACAATGCCTTTCCTCCTCTTCTGCTGCTCTCCCACTCACCCACCAGGGGAACGGGTGGGATGAAGAGCAGGAAGAGTTGATGCAGAGAAGGGAGGGCATGGTAGAGCTGAACTCTGGCATTCTTTATCAAATTAAAACCAAGAGCTGTTATTTAAAGATACCCTCCTGCCAGATACAGATTAGCATAGGACTGGATGCTGAGAGTGTTGGGGCCAACTTAAAAATTCAAATCAAACCTACCAGAATTTCAATTCAAAACTTCTTTGCTTTGCCTGCAAATGACCGTAGCATCATTGGCAACAGCTGTGCAGCCTGCAGGCAAAGTTCTGCTGTTTGCATGTCTGTGCCAAGAAAGTGCTCTTTAGCTTGAGAGGAGGTGCTGGGATGTGGCTGTGCAGAGCTCTCTGTAGAGTCCACTTGACTGTGTGGGTATGGACTGAGATCAGCTGGGAACTGCTGACCCAGTGTGTAAGGGGGCACTTTGCTGTAGAGAGATAATCATATGTGGAACTATTTCATACTCATCATGGTTTTGTGAAGTATTTAGTCATTCCACCACACATAATATATGGAATTATTAACTTCATGTGATGTCCCTTTCTCCTGAGCAACTATATAGGCTTTTTTTTTAAAAAAAAAAAAAAAAAAAGAAAAAGAATGTATTAGATACAAATCATATGGCTATATATCTCCTAGATACCGCCACACTGAAGCTTTGCAACTACAAAGTACAAGAAATATCTTGAACAACTTGGATATAATTATAGAAACATTAGATCTGATGGACACATTCTGAGTTCCTAGTATGATGTTAACTGGTTGTCTACGGTTAGGTGGGGTTAACTAATGTAAATATTTCACTGTATGGGCAACATTCACAACTTGTCTTTGTTTTTATATAATGTGCAGGTTATAGTTTCAGGAACAAGTCAGTGCCTATGAGCGCTTCATATTACATAAAGTGAACCTCAACATACAAGGCAATGCAGATCTTGTTTTAACAGTCCAGTTCTGATCTCATTATTTTTCACTTTTCTCTTGCATGCGTATAGATATTTCTCCTTGTGAGGGAGCTGAGAGATGCAGGCAACAATGTTTTGCTGCTAGTGGTGCATAATAATTATCAGAAACAGGTCTCCAGCAACAGTGTTACTGAGTCCATTTTGTTAGCTGAAGTATAAGTGTGCTTTGTTACTTCTCAAAATATATATGCTTGTATACGTATATAAAAATATCCTCTTCTAATTAATTATTGCAGAAATAGGTTAAGTTGCTGTTACTATCAATACTTCATGGATATTGTGGTAACAGCTGATTTTAGAGCACTGATGGTGGCAAAACAGTTCCACATTGAACCAAAATTACACGTATTCTCAGGATACCAGTGTGGATTTGCATTGAACTCGTAGAATTCTTAGTCCTCTAGTTCCCAGAGAGGACCAGGATATGGAATGGAAGGAACTTTACAAAGCAAAGGATTTCTGAGATGAAAGTCACTCTGTAGCTGACTGCTAAAGTACTCAAAAGTCAGGTGTCTCATACACTTTACAGTTGGGTAGCTGGCGTGGTAAGAAACACACCGTATTGTTAGTGCCCTCTTTCCCTCTTGATATGTGATGCCCCAAAGGCATCTACTTATGAGAAGGTTTGCTGCTTGGACATGAGTTGTGATAAGCATTTGCAACCTGAGGGGAATGGATGATAAAACCATACGCTTATGCACCAAAGATACAATAGGAAAGAGACAGTCTATCAGTCACGTGAATTGTGATTGGCCTGTTGCAATGGAGTAGTCTTTAACAAGAAAATGAAAGCTCTTTACCTTCTGAATGATTTTTACACAGTTGCACAAAAGGGAAAAGAAAAAAAGGAAAGAAGAGAAGAGAGAAAAGAAAAGTTCCCACCAGCTCTTCCCCTCCAAAATTAGCACTGGCATAGGTGAAGTCACACACAAAGGAAAGTCTCACTTTCTTTGTGCCTCTCACAATGACATCAACATGCATGGCTATGAGATGACGAGAAAATACCTCACTCAGGATGAATAACAAATTAGAATTTTCTTTAAAGTAAAAAAAATGATAACACAAGACCATCATAGGTATACGCTAGCTCCTTCAAAGCATCTCTTGTTGTCTAGATGTCAGTTAAAATCACTTGATTGGTGATCTGTTTTATCTAATACGACACGGGAATATTCTGAAATAGGCTGAAGAATGTCTACTATGCAACTTCATTGGAACGTCTGCCAAAAACGCAGTTGGCTTTGTTTTCAACATGGTTATCTACTTTGAAATTACTCCATAGAATAAATAGTGATATTCCGTGGGTAGAGGTAGATTATGGGGTTGAAATAGTCAAATTGGAGCCCCGTAACTTTATGTGCTATAGGAGGAGTCTCATAAAACTGAGATATTCCCATAATTAACCACTAGCCATGGGATATTATAATATATTCCACGGTGACTAGTATTTTTTCCATTCCCCCCACCCCCCAGTAGAATTAGCATGATTAGTTTTGCTCTGGTTTCACCTATTGCTGACATGAATCAGTGTAATTAAAAATAAGAATACCATATTATGAGGCGATCACTGTTCAGGTCAAACCGGCCAGTATTGACCAGTCTGACCTTTTCCAGTCAGCCTTTGCTGCTAGAGGGTTGAAAGAGCTATAGCTCACCAACCCATACTTGCAAAAGGAGCATGGTTTAGAAAACGTAGTTCAAAACTCTTCGTAGCTCTAAATGCTAAATTCTAGTGGAATATTATAGAATAATTGGTTTGCATGCCATGGAATAAACATCCTTACATCTAGTCTTGTCTCAGAGTGAGTCATTTTATATTAGTGTCAAGAATTTGAGCTGTTGTTCTACTTTGCAGTTAATCATCAGAAAGAGACGGGATTGTCTCATGAATATGCATGATGGTATAGTTGTCCCTTCAACTTACTAGGCACCTAGTTTCTGTAATGAGATGTACAATATCTGCCATTTAAAACAGCTGAAAGGTCCCAATTGGGAACAAATGAGAAAGCATCTGGCTGTTTCAAATTCCAGCCCTGTTTTGTCAGAAAACTCTGTAATTGCTGAGTACTTGGCTCCTACTCTGCTCTATGAAGCATTCAGCTCTCAGGAGCCTCTGAGATGCATTACACAGTCCAGCAAAATAGCTGTAGAACTCTCAAAATTCTTCCACTAGATGTAACAGCTCTTCAGAATATCTTGAGACTTGTATGCCCTTAACCAGGACCAAAGTTTGGGCTCCTAGAGCGTGCTCTCATCCTTAGTTTTGCTGATCAGCCTCCACTGTACCATTTGTCCCTGCAACCTAGACTTCACACATATTATTCACTGTGTGATGGTGGGACTAGAATGGATAAATGTGCTACCCATTGCTCTAAGAAAGCAGTCTGGCTGAATCTTAAATCACTACGCGGGATGGAGGTTAACGGTCAGATGGACATTCCTCTAAGAGGTTTCCTACCTGCTCTGTTAATTTCTAAAATTTCTTCTTGGGCCAGTGGGCAAGTGTCGCTCTGAGTACTGTGGTGTGGAGAGTTTACGACAGATTTACAATAATTGGGGGATCCCAGCTGGGGTGGCCTCGGGATATGCTTCTTTTTTTTCTTTGGTAGCTTCTGCTTAGCCATAGCTAAGGAGTAATACATTCCGAAATTGTTCACAATGACAGGGACAGGCATGGCAATGGTCAGCACGCCGGCGAGAGCACAGAGGGCCCCCACCAGCATGCCTGACCAAGTCTGAGGATACATGTCTCCGTAGCCCAGGGTCGTCATGGTGACAACAGCCCACCAGAAGCCGATGGGGATATTTTTAAAGTGTGTGTGTTCACTGGCACTAGGGTCATTTGGTTTAGCACCTATTCTCTCGGCATAATAGATCATCGTGGCAAAGATTAAGACGCCCAATGCCAAAAATATGATGAGCAGCAAGAATTCGTTTGTGCTGGCACGGAGGGTGTGTCCCAAGACCCGCAACCCAACAAAGTGGCGGGTCAGCTTGAAAATTCGCAGGATTCGCACGAAACGGACTACGCGGAGGAAGCCCAGGACATCCTTAGCAGCTTTGGAAGACAGGCCACTGAGTCCAACCTCTAGATAGAAAGGCAGTATGGCCACAAAGTCAATGATGTTCAAAGAGTTTTTGATAAATTCCACCTTGTTTGGGCAGAAAGTGACTCTCATCAAGAACTCAAATGTAAACCAGACCACACAGACACCTTCGATGTAGGTGAGAAAGGCTTCAGTCTCTGCTTCCCTGTAGTGCCGCACCTGGGTGTCATTCCCGATGAATTCAGTTTCTGTCTTGTTCACAATGGGGTTAAATCTCTCATGGGTCTCGAGGCAGAAGGTGGTGATGGAGACCAGAATGAAGAAGAGGGAGGCAAATGCCACATACTGTAGAAAGAAAGATACGAGAGAATCGTTAAACAGTAGGTTAAGCACAGGGGCTTTGGTTCTTACAGAAGGGAGAGACAAGAGCCGTGTTAAAACTGAAGATTACGCCAAGCCTTCTTCCTGTGGGCTTAAGATGCCAAGTCTCACCTGCAAAGACAGCCTGACATTCAAGCTGGGATGGAGACCAGTATGTAAGTACATGCTTGTGTCCATTCCTATACAGAGAGCACTTCAGCATGAGTGTAAATCTAAGCAAGCATTTGAATCCCCAAGCTCTCTTTGGTATTTAAAGTTAAGGACATACTTAAATTCTGCCTGCTTGAACTGGGTCTTCTGGTACTGTCTGGTACTTAAGATAGAGCACACCTTCTGGGGGGACATTTGTCACACAGGAGTCTTTCAACAGCGTTGTGTCAGTGGTGTGGCAGCTGCCTCCTGCTCCCAGCTTAGTGAGAGCTGTGGCACTTCAGGTGCTGCTAAATATGAGTGGCAGTCTCAGGGGACTCTACAGCAAGGATCTGAGTCCTGGTTGGCATCACGAGACTGTATTACCAAACCCCAGAGAAAGGTCAAGGAATAGTCGCATGTCAAACAGTTTTCCTGTAGTAAATAATCTGTTCTCAACTGTCTTCTCCAAATCTTTAATTTTTAAATTATTATTATTTTTTCTTAGGGCAGTCAGTCAGAGAAGAGAAGCAAGAAGATTTGGATATACCTGTCAGCTGATCCAAAAGGAGACAGATCTACTGGATTCTACCACACGAGGTTTTCTTCAAGAGATTTTCATTGCATTGTAAGACTCACATAGAAACTAAATCAATCTTTTGTAAGGCTGTCTGATTGCAATTTGGTTAATCAAGTTACAGGGAAGATGGTATCAGCCCCCAAAGTCAATGAGTGTCTTAGGAGCATTTTCCGTTTCTGCTTCAGTTCCTTCTTTCCTCAGGCTTTTCTCAGCCTAAAGGAGATCTCTTGGTTATATTCCAAGATAACTGAGGGAGACAGTCAGGCCAAAATTCACAATTCTAATAACCACAGTTTGTCTGCTCAGTCCTCCTTTAATAAATCAAGTAGGTTTTGTACATCTAAGAAACCTGCTTCTGTGTTGGAGCAGTGTGTTAATAATAATACCTCTTCCCATTTACCTCCTTACATCCGTTATCTTCCTGTTTGTCTCTTGTGTATGTTTGACAAAAGAAGTTATATATGATGTTATTTCATTGTTCTCTTGAGCATGATCAACCATATTTTTAAAATATTTAGGTGTTCTCATAGTGTTCCATTATTCACAATGTCCCTTTTTCAACAGTGTAGCCAAAGAAGGAATTACAAAGAACGAGTTTCTTTGGATTGTCTGTTGTCAGCAAATGCAGGGCAGTAATCTGAAACAAATTGCTGACAAAGGACCAGTTAAAAATAACCTCTGCTTCATGCAACCAAAGCTCTCCTGCAATCAAGGAGTTTCTCCTGTCTGCTTTCCTGGTAGACATAGTGCAAAACTGCACTTGACCTTCCCTATTAGCAAACAGAGTCCTTTGAAGGTATTTGTTACGGTTTAAGGTGAGCCATTTAATAGGGAGGTAAACTGGCAGAGAACACAACAACAGAATAATTTAGGTTGGAAGGGCACTCTAGAGGTCATAAGATACAACATTTGGTTCACATTCAAAGTTGGACCAGATACCGAAGTTGGATCAGTTTGTACCTTAAAGGAGGCTGTAACAAGGTGGAGTTGGTCTGTTCTCCCATGTGCTTGGTGACAGGACGAGGGGGAATGGGCTAAAGTTGTGCCAGGGGAAGTTTAGGTTGGATGTTAGGAAGAACTTCTTTACTGAAAGGGTTGTTAGGCATTGGAATGGGCTGCCCAGGGAAGTGGTGGAGTCACCATCCCTGGAGGTCTTTAAAAGACGTTTAGATGTAGAGCTTAGTGATATGGTTTAGTGGAGGACTGGTTAGTGTTAGGTCAGAGGTTGAACTCGGTGACCTTGGAGGTCTCTTCCAACTGAGATGATTCTGTGATTCTGTATGCTCAGGGCCTTCCCTGGTCCACACCTGGGTATCTCCAAGGTTAAGGCAGCTTGTGCCAGTATTCAGCCAAGAAGAAACAAATAAGCTTGGAAGGATATGAAGCAAACAGACTCCTCTGCATTTCAAATCCAACCTTGCTGCCAAAGAGACAAGAAGGTTACCCCTTGTCACATGTAAAGAAAACTAGTACCTTCCCTTAAATGCTTAAGGGAATAGTATCATAGTATTGCATAGTATCCTCAGGTGATTAGACCTTAGGTGGTCTGACGTACATGTTAATATGTGCTAAAATCAATGCTTAATATAAACTGTCTGGAAGACAAACAGACGAGAGGTTAGGAAAATTGAGAGACAGGACTTCTGGTATCTATTTATCTGATTCTTCAGTAAAGCAGGGAATTTTCTCCATGCACAGTTTCTCCATCTGTAAAATAGGCTAAAAAAATCCTGGTGTTTATGTGTTTTGTGATCGCAGATAAATGTGTACAGGTTCTATAAGTTTTCATTTTATTGTTCATTATCAAAAGTCTCCCTAAAAAATAAGTTGAAGAGTCTTTTAAAGTGATCAAAGTCAGTTTATGTATATTTTTAATGCTCAGAGCATAATTAAGCAGGGGTTAGTAGCCCAATTGTCTGAGTAAAACAAGAAACAAAAAGCATTTTTCAGCAGGAACTCAGGAAAATATTTCCAGCAGCCTCAGAGCACGTCTGCTCCATTTTGGCCTGGAGCAGATTTTTACTGTAGAGTCATAGATCCCTGAGAATTGAAGCTGTAGAAGGAAATGCTGACATTTCATTAAGCCAGGTAGAACTCGCTGATAAGAAGCAGAGAAGGGAATAAAACCATATTGCATTTTAAGGGGTCTGTGAAAAAGGCCCCTGTATGCTGACTGAAAATGCAGTTCTCCTCTTCAGGTGTATGAATACCTCTCCTGAGTGAGATTTTGGGGCTTAGGACAACCTTCAGGCTGATCTTGCCCAGCAGCGATGTTGAGAAATGATATTTTGCTGTATGGAAGGGAAGAAATAAACAATTCTGTCAGGACATTTAAATTCTCTGCAGTGGTATATGCTAACACTGCTACCAGCAGAGAACATCACACCCATAATCTCTCCTGCAGTTAGCCCCTGTGTGCGCACCTTGGCTTCAGAGGGGAATTGAGATCTCTTAGTCATCAGTTCAGCAGAACAGAGAAGTATCCACTGAATGAGTGAGGCGTTTGCTTCCTTCTGTCTGCATTAACAACATGCAGAGTTTTTTCACAGGTGTTTTCCTAAATGCTTTGGAAGCACAGGGTTTGCTATCAAGGTTTCATAGAACCATGGCACAACAATAGTATTGACAAGAAAGATCCCAATCAGAATTTGTTATCACTGTTGAATTGCTTTCTAATCATAAAACCTATTTTGTTTTGGGTAAGAAAAAAAAAGGTCTGTAGCCAATACATGCTCTGGTATTGAAAAGACCCTGTTTTTGCTGTAGTAGTAAACTTGCGTGCACTGAAAGGAGACAGCAATGGAGATCAGCCTCTATATCATTGGCATAGATTTAGATTGGTGGTCCCAAATTTTTATTGCCCTGATTCCTTTTTTCTTCTGAATATTTTCCTCATTAATTATTTGATATAAGACCTACCAAGCTGTAAACAAAACCAATAGTTATTCAGTGGCTATGTGTGATGAGCATTCATTCATACCAAAGAGCTCAAAAAAGGAACCTTCCCTGGCTCTCTATCAAAAAGGCCAATAAAGATCAGCCACCATGCCTGACATTATAGCTAGTCAAGTCCAGAGGTGAGCAAAGTTGGTGAAATCTAGTGAAGACTCTGGGACTTGGATGTGTTCTAATGTCTTTGAAAATACATCTCTTTATTTCACTAATAATTGCCTAAACCCTAATCAAACCAGTGGATTGCTCTTGTGATATTTAGAGGTTCTTAGTTTTCCTTCTCCATACATTTTACAACAGAATATCTCTTCTTCCTAAGACCTGAATGGGGAGAAAAGCGAGGATTTTATCAAGTGATGCCATGTGTTATTGAGTTCCAGAACAGCAGCTAAAATTTACTATAATTAAATAAAATACCTAGGTAATGTGTTTGAAGTGATCAAAACTCTTTTATTTGCTTTGACACATGTGAATGATTTTTACTTAGCCTAGAGATGGTGCTGCCACTGCTTCTTTCTGGCTTTAATGCCAACAAAGGAGCACTTCAGATTGTCCAAAACTGCAGAAGCTATAAGAGAAGGCAGAGAGGAGATTTAAAAAAAGATGCTTTAATTAAAATATATTTATGTTAAAATGCCTTCATTTTGGAGAGAGAAGAAAAAAAATTACAGTCCTGCATAATCTAGAATTGTGACAGGTATTTTTTAACAAGTCCATCCTGAAAGCAGCTAAAGTGCATCATGCCCATAAGTGGAGAATTTCACCATCTAATTTTTATTGCCTCTGATTTTATATATATATGTATTTACTGTGTGTATATGTAAGGCGTGCTTCTTCACTACTCTACTCCACTATCTAACCTAGCCATTTTTGTCAGTCCAGTGTGAATATGAAGTGCCAATTAATTCAGAATAGTAGTGTTTCACACCAGCGTCACAGAGCTGTAAACGGTACAAGATAACAGAATCAGACCTAGCCGCCCATGAATAATGAGCCAGTAAATTTCCATTCAGCATGGAAAGGAAACAGAAGTCCAGTACCTTAAAAACATGACTAAACCTTGCAATACACGAGGATTAGGAGACTAGGCTCATTCAGAAAAAGGTCCGAGGATTAGACCAGACAGTATTAAATATATAGGTGTGACTGCCTACTTCTGGGAATTACTTTTTAAAACCGTATTTCATCTTGCATTTCTGAGATAGTTCCGATCTCAGAGATAAGAAACCTTTTTATGGTTTGCTGTAAGTAAGTAAGCCCAGTAACCCACTAGAATGCATTGATACAGTGCTTGGAATTGCCAGATTTCAATACAGATGGGCAGCGAAGGCTGTTGATTTAAGCATCGGGACAGAAATTGGATGACTGAGGCTCTTAGCCTCCAGCACTGACCCAGTTTTTTGCCTCCCAGCATGTGTACCTGTGAAGGGAGGCCTTGGCTGAGTCTTTGATACAAGAGACACCACTCGTGGACCATAAGCAGGGAAAGTTGGTGGCAGCAGAAGCAGCACAGCTTTTACTAGTCAAGTTTCAGTAAACTCAGAGGTTGTTCTCTAGGAAATAGGGATCTACACAACATACCATTCATAATTCATCACACATTCAGAGTGAGTTGGTAGAAGCTGCATGCCGCAGACGGGTGCTCTTCTCCTTTGATACTGCTCAGAATCATTTAACAATTGTGACTCAGGCTAGAGGGGAGAAAAGGAACAGGTCACACTTAGAGGAGATTTTCCAGCCTCTCCCTTTGCAACTGCTAACAGAAGTATTTTTTAAAAAGTGATTCTTTAATTCCTGTCTTCTTGCAGGGAAATTCAGGAAATCCTACCCTTCCCTCAACCATGAAAGGCAGAGGAAGATGGCCTTTTGCTTGAATCATCAGAAAATTTCCTATAGAAGTGGCACCCTGTCTTTCTAATGGTCTGTTCTGGTGAGTTATGGTTTTGATGAAAAAATACTTAATTTACTAGATCATAACCATCCTGTTCCTCTTGAACCAAAAAAGCACAGGAGATAAGAAGTTGTCGTCTTAGTCAGTATGAGCAGAACCTCTGAACGTCATTTGCTTCCTCCCCAGTGGGAGAGCCCAGGGCTTGGCAAGACTGAAATGAGAGATGAAAACATTCTCCTCATACATCTTTGCCCTCCAAGGGAGAAGTGATGGAGCCATTAGTGCTGCAGTGCCTCTAGAAATATAAGGTATGACTCGAGTGAGATCCAATATTCATTTTTTTTTCCTTTTTTTCCACCAAAAAGAAGTCCCAGGTCTAGTAATCTTTCAGTAAGTCCATGAACGCTAAATGCTGTCTATCTTGCAGGAGCAAGCTAGTCTCAGAAGCGTTTCAGATCACTGCTGGTAACCTATGAGTTTGTTCCTGCAAAACATCAGTATTTCAGATATATCCAGACCCCTGTGCTTTTTGCTAGTCCTGCATAAAACCACATGACTTCCATTCATGAGGCCAAGGGCTTTACCAGTATTTACAGTTGTTCATTTGTTCAAGGTTTATCTCTGAAACAGCTGTTACATCTGCATGAAGCGGACATTTGCCTGTGACTTGAATCACTGAGCTTGGATTGTTTATTTTATTCTGAAAGCTATATTTTAACCACTCTAAAACTTAGCCCGTGTATCACCAAGATGTTTAATAATTGAGACAAATCTTTTTTGCACAGCTCAGCCAAAGTTTGGGTTAAATGAAAGCTGCTTTAAAATACTCAGCTTTATTACAACTTTATTTGTCAAGATTGATTTTCCAGGCTTTCTTAGAGATATGGACCCTGATTCAAACAAATGACTCATTTCAAATGTGCAAGTAATTCTACTGAATTTTGGGAGAGAAATATTGAATCTGTATGACTGATCAAATGACTAAATGTAGGCACAGTAGCTAGCAACCAGCTAATGCTGTGAAAGTGAGCAAAAGCAAAGACTTTGTCAAAAACCCACCTTGGCAACATTTCATTAAGAATCCTAATGTAAGATGTTTGGAGATTCTTTGAGTGATGACTATGAAATTGAAAGTATTTGCAAGGGGAAAAATCCAGTTCTGCTTTTGTAGGTGTGAAACCAGTATATGAGGGCACAATCAAATGTAACCTCCCAGCTCTTGTCTGTGAAGGGACAGATGACCATCTTGGCAGTCCATCTTTTTCCAATGAGTTTCTTTTTTCAATAAGATAAGACAATCAACAGAGAAACTCACTTCAGTGAACATACTGGCTCAGTCACAAGGTTGTTCAAATTTGTGCTTCTTAGTTGAGACAAATTGAAGAAGTAAGCTTAGAGATAAACAAAGCTTGCTCCAGAATCAGAAGAGAAGTCCACTGGCAGCTCACGGATGAAATGGTTATGTAATGCCAAAAAAATATATATGACAGCTTGCAAAAAAATCTTGGAATGCTTAGTGGCACGCAGACGTGAAATAGCATGTTAAAAAAAATGTGCAGTCATCTGTGGGGAATATGCTTAAGTTATTCGGCGTTGACGTTGCAATAAATAAATTAGAAGCACCTCTCTCAAATGTTAGTCCTAGCAGGCAGCCGTGTGCTTTGACAAGGTAGTTACAGAGAGAAGCAAGGCTTCATCAGAACTGGAAGTGTGGTATATACAGTATTTGTCTGTGACCGCATGGCCAGCCAGCTGGTCACCAGGCAGAGATTGGAATGCTTAGGCAAGTTTTCCAGTTTCATTTAGGTTAGATTAAATCTTGCAATTTAATAGGAACACCATGAATGATCAGAGCGGAGATGTGAATTTATTTTGCAAGCTTCTTTGCTAGCTCCCTAGTCTGGGTAGTGAGAACTGTGTGGAGACAGTATGGTGGGAGTTAGAAATGGTTCATATTGCTCAGCAACAGCTCAGTGGGAAATTCTCATCTTAACATTTATAGATTCCTGATCCAAATGTGCCCCAAGACTTCTGCAGCTAGGTATATAGGACACTACAGAAGGAGCTGTAAGTGCTGAAAGGGAGTTTTCCATCTCGTCAAGGGACTGTAGTAACATAGGCTTGATAAGGGCCTACAAACATAATCGAGTCAGTCCTTTAACCCAAAGCACAGTCTGATCATTCCCCAACTATATAGGCTGTTTTTAAGGACCTCCGATGGTGAATATTATAGATTCTTTGCAAGAAGTCTTGCTTCACCATGATCTAGCTGTAATTTTTTCTTCCTAATATCTAACATAAATCAGCTGTGCTACGTTTTAGGCTTGTTTGCTTTTGCCCTATCCATCACAGACAGCTATGGATTTGGAAATTTGCAGATGCTTTCCTTCTTTTCTAAACTAACATCTATTAAAGATCCAAACGTTCCATGGGTCCTAGACTCATGTTCTTATATTCTCGTTCTGTTACTGCATAAAATCAATATAATTATTAATCTCATTTTCAGATGATGCCACACACATTTATGCTGTCAGTTCTGTCAAATGTTCTAGAATTAAATAAACCAAGTAGGTCATGTAATATTTCATACACTGGAGCATGACAAATGAAACCAGGCAACTTTTTCTACAACTGCTCATAATTACTAGGTTTTTTAGCCCTTTCTTGTAAGGCAGGCAACTTTTTGTGCACTATGCACACTTTCTATTCTCAACTGAAAAGAAGAATTTTTTCGCGATGCCTGGTGGCAGCATCGTGAGCTATGATATTCTGGATCTCGCCTCACCACCTTTGTTCTGGATGCTATTTTCTCTCCTGAGATATGACACTTCCTCCCTCTCTGACTCGCTGCCAGTCCTTCGTTGTGGGAAAAAACATTTCTTATGCAATGCCTTGACAAGAGAGGGGAATTCCTGACTAGAGCTAGGCGAATCCAACTGGGAAAACCCAAAGACTTGCAAAATATGCTTAGTCCTGAGGCTTCCTATTTTCTAGATGTAATTTTTATTTTTCTCCTTCAAAAATGAATAAGTCACACACGTGCTTGTGGTTATGATCAAGTGCAGACAGATGAAACTAGGTATGTATCTTAGCCCAAGCCTCACCTTTTGCATTTAGAAATATGAAAATAGAAAGAGGATTGATTGACAAGTTTTAATCTCTCAAATGCATGTATGTGTGTGCACACTCTTGAAGCTGTTAACTTAGGGATTCCTTACAGTGATTTTAGCTGTAGGCTACGTGAGTCCTGGGACTCTCTGTGGAGCAGCAACTCCCATTTCTCCTTTTTTTGCTACAGCTTCTGCACAGTCACTTGCTCAAGAGTGGCTAAATTCACATGCTCGTACTTCTAAGAAGTACAGCCTCTCTCAAGCCTACATCACATTAGAATCATCCCAGAAGCTCGTCAAAGAGTAGGGGACATATTTCTGTATCCTTTCAGGGCCTGCCCCAAGTGAGCCACCAACCTCAGCTATGCACCAGCACCGGAGAAATGAAATTGTTACAGGCATGGAGCAGGCAGAGTGCCTGTTGGTCTCCAGCTCCACTAGAAAGAGCACATCTTTTCTTATGTTTTGCAAGAAAAACTCCAGTGTGTGGAAGCATTGAGTGTAAAACTCCACAAGGAAACACTTGAAATACTCAGTGAGGCTTTGTCCTGAATACAGACCTTCCTAACCTAATAAAAGAGGAAGACTTTTCTCCCTGTGGTTTTGAAGCCAAGATATTTGTGGTGTCTGCCAGATCATGTTTGTATTCAGACAATGATGCTGCTTCTTTGAGACAAATTAGAACAAGCAGTGGTCGAATCTTTAATAGTTTAAAATGTGGCTAGGCTGGCTACATAACCACCCTCAGACAGGGAGTGAAATCTACCTGCTTGTCTTCCACGAGAAGTCACCAACAGCTGGTAGGGGCAGTCAATTGGATGCTGGTGGCTCCTACATAAGACTAAGGGGAAGACCCAGAAGACATCAACTCACAGAGGTGAGCTGTTCGGGTGTGCAGTGAAGACAGGACTTAAAGAAATGGCCCTGGTATGACATTGCTGCATCCTCAAATTCTTCCTGTGACTTCACAGCACTGTGTTTCCAGGGCTTTTCCTCTTCTAAGCAAGGAGATGAAGGGCTCATTCTAGCCCTTGACTTCTGTTCTGTGCTGCATTTCCTTCTGCCTGACACAGCCTCTCTCTTCCCCTCCAGGTCTGCCAGGGCTGCTCCTCCCAGATAGAGGCATCTTGCTGGGGACATTGCTCTCTGCAAGGAGGTTTTACCAGGAGGATGGACTTGTGGCCAGCCAGGGGGATCACCTGCCTCGCTTCTGGTGCTCACAATGTAGCAATGGGCTTCCAGGTATTTGCACAGTACAGTGACATGGGGACCATGGATAGGAGATGGCATGTACTGCTTGAATGCAGGTTGATCTGTGCAGTGTAGCTGCATGAGACACTCCGATTCCTAGTCCAAACACCAACCAGAAGCCCTCTGCAGCACAAACTTTTGCCTCAGCTTTTATTAGTGGTAATTTGCCTTTACGGTGTTCTGCTTCACTTGTTCCCGAGTACAAGATACACTTGCTATAGCCTCCTACCTACAGAACCCTTCTCTGCCGTGTTTTTGTATTTATCAGTCCAGGGAATGAAGGGGTTATGGTGATGTTATCTGGCATTTTATCACCCCCTCTATGTCAGTATCTGTTTTACTATCTCTCTGAAGAGAAGAGTTTTCATACCTATGTTTCTGTGGCTTAACTCTTACATGTGCCAGAAGTAAACATACGGAGCCAGGAAGGTAGCCATTTTATGCCAGTTTGCTCCTTTGGCATTCTCTCTCCTGTTCAGGTGGTCAAGCACTTCAATTCCCAGGTAGATTTCCCTTTTCTCATAGGAAATATCTCACTTTCTTTGTGGCGAGATTTGACAGTTTTGTAAACAAGTGCATATATGATATGTAGAGAGAGGTATTTATTTTTTCCCTCTCTCCTGCTCTTTGTTCTAAGTATCCTAGGGTGTCTTCTCAAACTCTCTGAAAACTGTTTAGATCTATGCCTTAAGACCTTTGCTCCCAAAATGTCCTTTTGCTATAGAGTTCGATAGCACTAGTTAGGGTTCCTTTCTTTTTTTTTTTTAAAAAAAAAAATTTCTAGTAACTCTTGTAAACTTAGGCAACATTTCACATATCAAAGATGCCTTCCAGAATTTGCATTTGTCTCCATAAAAGGAATCATTTGGGGCTCAGCGCAGCTCTATTTGGTTCTTGATTTTGCCCATGAAGGTACTGCAACCTCTATATGGCAAATCAAGTCTGAGATGTTCAGTCATTAAAGACACACTGTGATTATAAAGAACCTCAGGAAGAGCCCAGCCATAACCCAAACTCAAGAGGGCACCTGCTGTCCCAGGCAGTCCCTATCACAGTACTCAGTACAGGGCAGTTAGTGCACATGCCCACTCTCCTTGCTGACAGCACTGTCCTGATTTAAAGGAGAGGATTATATCATACTTTCTTTCCCTGGTAAAATATTTTCTCCTCCTGAGTATATTCACTGTACCTAATCTAACTACGCCACTGCATACCAACAGACATGCAGAAACTGTGCACTTACATGTGAGATGACAAAGAAAGAAGTCCTCATTGTTATGTTATTAAGGCTTAACTTATGAGAAGGATGTATAACACCTGTGATACTAACCCGGCTATCAGTTCCACATAGCAATTCTCCCTCCCCCAAGCCAGAGTCATTGTTAGCAGCTGTGAAACTCCTGCAGAGCGTGCTCCAGGGGCAGTGCTGTGGGGTTAATCACACAGCATGGTCGGCCAGCTCACAGCAGTTCAGAAGGGTTCCCGACAGCCTTTTGCAGGTAACTACTGTAAGAGCCACTGTCTTCCCTGGTGCTGGGGAGCTGAACTCAGGACCACTCTTTGTTAACTCCTATAGCTAGGTCTTTTGGGGAGGGATGGACTGTAAAAGTTGTGTGGTGCTGAAAGAATGAGGCCTTGAAATGCTTACTTGCGAGGTACATTGCATAAGCAACAAGGAAAACACTTCTACTTAAAACAATGTCTCAAGCATTCAAGGTTAACTGAAGCTGCCGAAGAAAAGATTAGAAAAGAAACACAAGGTAAGTCATAGCCTGAACCCAGAGGAAAATTGCTTTCTACAGAAGATGAAAGGAATTTAGGGTATTTTGAGAAGTTTGCCAGCAATGTTATGCAACTGTTTAACTTGTGTCCTGCAGTACTCTCAGCATCTTGTGGGATAATAGCAGACTCTCATCTCTTACTGCTTGCTGCATTACGGCTGTATCAGCCATGGTGTATTTGCATATCTTTAGTTTATTCAAGTGCACATGCAGGTATGATGTGAACCGTGGCTGAAGAGCTAACTCTGTTTCTGAATGCTATCCTCCACCACAAAGGAAATATCCTTTATTCGGAATAGCTTTGTGGAATATTATGCATCTACCTGCACTACAAAGAACCTGAAATATTGCATAACACTAACACTTAACAGTGTGCAGCATTTTATGCCTTGAAAGTGCTGTTGAAATGTTAATTTAAAAACCAATTTGCAGCTGTTCTGTAAGGCAAAAGAAGCAGATGCTATTTCTGTTCCATAGGTGAGGTGATGGTGAGGCTCAGAGGGTACAGCAGGTTTTTCTTAAGTATGTTGGTTTAATTTTGACTGCACAGCTACCAGTATTGAAGTCTCTGGCTGAGGCAAAATGAAGGGATGTCTTGAAATCTGGAATTCCAAAGGAACGGGTAGGGTTGTCAGATCGAATACTGAGATGGCAAGGTTTAACCTTGCAGACCAAGCGAGTCCAACATGTAGCAAATGGCAGGAGGGAGGATGAGGTGAGAAGGATGGGTGGGCTGTAGTTGTAGATTTTTCTATTTATCCAAATTATGGTCTTGTTCATCTAACATAGCTACATCAGTTCCTCTAGAAAGGGCCGCTCTCTGTGGGAGAAGGGTGAGAATTTTTCCATCAAAAGTGAATAAACTATACTTGGTAGTGACTTTAATCTTTTGTCCTGAGAAACCTTTTTATCTGAAGTCCTCAACACGGAGATCTCTTATCGTCTGTTATAACAGGATCGGAGTGCCAGCCTATGAAAACCTGGCCTTAAGGAGATTTCCAATTGGAGATAATAACAGCGAATTACCAGAAATCACTAAGCACTTCTGGAAGTCTTTCCTAGCGTGTATTGCCACACAACAGGCACAAAACTGCATAAAAATAAAGGGAGAAAGGAGGAAATGAACTGATGGTGGAAGTGCGTTGATTCCAACGATATCATTGCTCTCTGGGAGCTTCTGGGTGAGGCGTACTTTCTCTCCCGAGCATGAGATAGACTGCTGTCCCGGGGCGTTTCTTTGCTTAAAGAAGAGCTTGAGCAAATGGTTGCCTATAAAAATCTATTTAGAAAAAAGGTCTTTAAAGACAGTGTGGTCTGTAATGCTGACTTGTTTGTAAAAAAACAATTCCTAGACGTGTGGGTAGTGAGTCGGGTGAGTGCCATCAGCTACAGCAAACAGAGAGGTGGGGGAGGCAGAGTAGGGGATGAAGTAAAAAAACAAGGAAAAGCCAGGACTTGCACTCGAGCTAAATGTTGCTTTAGCCAGCGTGGATGGGAAGGGGCATTCACTGCATTAGGTTTGTTTTCACCCACTCCATTTCTAATTCGTGAGTGACCTGCACAAGCTGCGTGATGGTGCAGGGTGGCGCAGGGCATGAACTGTGTGCAAGGGCACGGCACAGGAGGAGCTGATGCCCCGACAGGAAAAGATAAAGCTGATTTTGAAACACAGAGCCAGCTGGGTACTTGCAAGGTGCCAAACGTGGAAGTTGTGCTTTTTGTTTTTATTATTATTCATTGCTCAGTCGGAAGTATTTTTATATTGAACTTGGAATATGGCCCCAATGAGGAGAGAGTTGCTACGTATGTGCCCCTCTGGGTCGGGGATGTGAAGGCACCCCCGAGTGCCACCTCCTTTGTCAGGGCAACGAGCACTCCTCATTTCTGACTCTTTCCTGTGCTTCCTCTCCATGGCAGCGGTGTTCCCTCACATGAAGGAGAGAGCGTGGTGTCAGCCACGAGGCAGAGTGAAGTAAGGATCTGCGGCAGAGCCACCAGCTGCTCCTTCCCGCGGCCGAGCCCACCTGCATGTTGCAGACCTTTTGTCTCAGGGCGAGCGCTGGCATAGCACGAGGATTCTTTCCCCGTTCAAAACAGCCACAGAAGCTGGTGAGGAATCGCCAGGCAGTGCATGAGAGGCCTGGTAGGCATGGGAACCACGGGCCTTTGGTAACCACAGTAACAGCGGGGCGGCCTCGCTGGCAAGCCAGATGAGCCGCCTCGCCATCCGCTGCCTCGGAGGTGCTCTGTGCATTGCTGAGCTATTTTAGGCACTTAATTCCACAAACCAAAGTGCCTATTGAAATGACCCATGCACTGTACTACTTATGAATTATTCACTCCATTCTTATCTTCACCAACTGGATTTCTTTTCCCCAATCAATGCACGTAGGCTCTTTCCACTCTTAGTTTTTCTCATTTGTTGTTTGAAAAATGGCTCTCTTATCCAAAACATAATTCATATTATTGCTGGTTTTAAATATTCTCTGTTGGAGAAACCTTGTCCTCTTCCCAATACTCCCCCACTCTAGTTCTGTAGTCCCTAAGTGGAGCCTTGCATACTTCTGGCCTAGAACCACAGCATGAGTTCTGCTAAAAATTTGCTAATGAAGGAACTCGATACAATTTGGAATGAGTTCTACCTCAAACGATCGATACAGGCCCAGTGATGTACATCAAGCAGGCAGGTAAGTTGCTCTAAATAAATTTACAATTGATTTTATTTTTAAAACCAAATTAGGACATTTATATTCTTACCAAATAAAATCAGCTACAACTTATGCAAACAAGCGTATTCCTAGGTTTGTCTTCTCTAGTACTAGTAGTAGATTTCTAGCTATTTATAGCTCAGTAACTTGTATTCCTGGGATAATATGCATGATTTGCTCACCCAAAAGCTTGGCTTGCCTATAGGTAAACAGGTCGCATTTATTCAGGACTCCCCCTTGTTGAGATTTTCACTAATAATCTGCGGTAGCATCTGCTGGTGAACAGACACTTGAGGGCTGTGTAATTCAGTGTAAGCTGTGGGACTCACCCCCTGCGTCCTGCTGTGGGGACACAGTGGAGACCGAGAGCTGCCTTCTGACCATGCCTCGGGTGGCATCACCAACTGAGGTGGGTGTGCTGGGGCTAAGTGCCTTTGCTTTCCTCTCCTTGCCTTGCAGACCGTGCCACTGGTTGGGTGCACAAAGGAAAAGATACCCTTGTAAGAGAATATGCTATCAGTGCTCTTTGTCCAAGAGGAGCACAGTGCCGAGACTCTGAGCTGCTTGACTCTTGCTGGGTTGTGTCCTCCATGGTCATCAGAGCTGCGTGTGCTTAGAGACAGCTCGGATCTGGAAGAAGCACAGGCTTGACATTGTGCTAACTTGGAGGTATTTTCCCTGCACAGTTGACTCATTCAGGGACATGCAGCAGACAAACTGAAATCTACCTCCTCAGGAATAAGCAGTGCTGCATTTTTTTTTTTTTTGGGGGTGTGCATGTTTATAGCTGTGTTGTTTTATTAGCTCTGCAGTCTGAAATCAACTAAGATTCTGAGTTTCTGAGTTGTAGCAAGTTCCCTCAGATGTTTACTTTGAGCAGTGGTGTCAGCAGTGCAAGATCATGTGAAGGACCAGCAAGGAACTAATATAAGTATCTGGTGTAGAGAAGTCTTGAAAGCAGGTGGAGAAAGTTTGAAAACAGAAGTTAACATGGCTTGTTCTTTGCCTTATTCTTAACCCTCAGCAGCTTCTCAGCTCCATCATATACAGTTCTTTCAGGTGTGGGGGATTGGCAAGGCTAAAAAGCTGCCTTTAAAAACCCATAGATATTTAGGCAGATGTCATGGGATTAAATGCAGCTACTGGATTATGAAGGTGCTCGGTTTATTTTCCCTGTGAAATATATGCTTGCTTATGAGCGTGATGTTATGGTGCTCTTGGTGTTCTTGTGTAATGACCACTAGCATGAGTCATTCTCCTTGCTACTTGCTCAGAAAATGCAGTTCATTCTTTTCTTCACACACGCACACAGTTCTTGATAGTATTAAGGACGGGTGTTGCTTTAACCCAGAGCCTCTGGCTTATCGGATGAGGCATCATTCTTAACAATTTCTTACCAATTTTGGAAGCTAGAAATGATAAAAGGTATATTTTGTACTTCCTCCTGCTGCTGGGAGGCCTTTACAGGGTTATTCGGGGGATTATATGGGATGAACATCTCTTCCTTTGAGGCAGCATTCCAGAGTGGAATACTTTGTAGCCTCACCATCTTCTTTCAACCCATTTTTCCTATTTATGTGCTGCTTTGTTTTGCTGTGCTTTTCCCTCCTTTGTCAAAGTGCCCTTCAGGTTGTTGCAGGCTGCTTTGTTATCCCTTCAGGCTGTTGCTCAGCAAAGATGGATTTAGTGAGCTGGTTCAGTCTGTCTCCTTACTCTGTTACTCCAGCCTGCAGAGGTATCTTTTGGTTTTGGTCATGATTGTCTTAGAAAGGAGAATGCTGGAACCTCTTCAAAGCTCAGTTTAGATTGGAATATTTTTTAATTTGAGTATTAACTTTTTCCATGATGTTTTTTTTTAGTAGAGCTAACATATTATTGTTGGTATTGATGGGGATAACCTGGTATCGTGCACAGGCACATTCAAGTTGGTAGCACGTTACAAGGATTTTACTTTTGAGTACCATGGTTAAAAAATGTAATTAGTCTGCCGGTTTGTCTGCCTCTCAAACCTACTCAACAAGCAGCTCAAGTACAAGATGTTCTTGTCTGCTGCAACTGACAGATACGCTGCATTTCCCCAGCCCTCCCCATTGCCTGCCAGACAGGGATCTGTATCGAGATAGTTGAGCTACATGAACATAAAGAGGATCAAGGCTGACTCAGTGCCTCATGGATGCAAGAAGTATCACGCAATGTATTTGTTACACATCATGCTCTTAGAAGTGGACTTGAATTTCTCACTTGCTCTCTGGGGTTGAATATTTTCAACACTGACTACAGGGCTGTTCTTCCCAGCTCTCAGTAATTTTAAATGGAAGCCACGTGGCTGAACTGCCCTCCCGGGGCCCTGAAAATGCCAGCTGGTGTTGTTACTCATACGGGGTTTGGGAAGTGGCCTGGTTCCATTGATCCTCCATGGGATCCCGTTGATCCCAATGAGGGCCAGGACCCTTTAAGTGAGATGATCAGTAAAGGCTGGGCTAAAACAGAAGAGAAATGGATCACAGCTGGGGAAGCAGAGAGGTGTTGCTTTGTTTGTAACACCTGCCTTGTTTTCCAGAAAGCCTCATGTAGCCTAAGGTGGTGTTATCAGCACTTAGGGAAAAGAGGGGTTAACAGCTGATCTCCTGCTGGAAGGCAATGCTGGAGTTTCCCTCCGCTCCTGACACAGTAAATTTCATGACCATTTCTTTTTATAAGACATAAATGGCTGTTGGGTTGACTCTTCAGACCGTAGTCTTGTATGCAGACATTCAGATCAAGCCCTCATTTCATCATAATTCGATCACATTTGGCAAAAGTGCCAGGGTAGAGAACGTGGAGAACCACAACCTCTTAAGAATGGTTAAGGATGGTGGCAGCAGGAGCTGGAAAACAGCCTTCCTTCTTCTGCTGTCACAGGCTGACTGCTTGGCTTTGCCATGGCCGCCTTATTCTGACCCTCCAAACCCTTTCTCTATTTGACTTTTATGTGCAGTCAGCTTTTGTTCCCTGGGATCCCTGTCTCATCTGTGCATGAGTGTGTGAAAGGGGAGAGGTATTCGTTCTGAGGTCCTTCTGCTATTTCAAAAATAGGAATAGGCTGGAGCCTTCTGAAAAGACAGCAAGTTCTTATAACACCAGGTGCATTTATTGCCGGGTTAAAAAAAAAAAAATCAAACTATTGATGCAAAACAACTAGTCTGTGTCTTGGAAGACAAAATCTTTTTGTTCTCTCCCACTCTGAAAGATTACTATTGTGAGGAAGGAAAGAAATACAAAATGGGGAGAAGGTGGTGTGTCTAAACGGTTCATAGTGGGTAGCTTTAAAATAAGGCATCTCTTTCATTCTTGCAAATGGATTGACAGAAGCTGTTGTTAGATTATGTCAGCCTTTTTTCCTATGTACACTGCAGCACAAATACTAAATTCTCTAAATTGCCCTCAACAGGAGCTTCACCAGTACTGCAGTGACTGGATCTCACATGGGAATACCTGCTGTAGCTTTCAGCTGACTGCTTTGGCTAGCCTAGCAGCACAGCCCAAGCCTGCCTGCTGCTTGCCTGGAGGTTTTAATGTGTCCTGTGGCCAAAGTTTAAGGGCTGATTTTACTCATGAGAGCAAATTCTTTGAGGGAGGGAGGTATTTCTATAGGTCAAGTGCAAGACTGCGCTTTCACTCTCTTATTTCTTGCTGTCAGTTTCCCTTTCTCTTCATTCTAGGTTTCACCCTGTATAGCTGAGGTGAGGGGCAGTAGCCATGGAGGTGGGAAGGAGCTAGTGACGCCAACAAGGAAACATGACATAGCACTAATTAGCTTTCTGCTGCTTGGCAGCAAATAAATACGACTTGGGAACAGCAGAGGGAATACTGAAAGGAAGAGCAGGTAGCTGAGCTGAGTTGGGATTTAACACAATAGTTCTTTTATCCATCCTCTGCTCCTTACTAATTTTATACTCAAAAATTGAAGAGTAAGGAACTGAACAAAAATCCCTAGATCTCAGTGAGATTATTCCCTATGCTGGCATGTTAGGTTTGACACCGTGTAACTTCCAAGTTGTATATGCTTGGTAGTATACTGACTCTTGTGCATTGAGCAAGGACTGGTGGGACCACACGAAAAGGTGTGATGGGAAGTGGGCTTTATTTCTAGGGCCGTGGAGATACAGATTCCTTAATTAGCGTAAAAGGGTTTTTCTTTATCTACCTAACCTTATTTGTTTGCTTGTTTTATTTTCACTTTTTCAGGAATGCTGATTAGGTGAATCTGTATTTTTATGCAACTTACTCAGAAAAAGCTCTTTTCAAAGCTTTCAGCTGAGTCTAAAGGAAGAAAAACTTGTTCTATTTTTTCCTAAATCAGCCAAGTCAGGCTTGAAATGACCAGGTGCTCTGTTGCACCGGGAGAACAAAAAAAAAGGAATAAAATCACTATGGATATAACTTGCTTGGAAAGAGATACTGTCAAAGTAGAAAGCACATTAAAATAAAATCTTCACCATGAGCATTTCAGAATCAGCTTTTCACGTAATCACATGGAACGTGCCACTGAAATTCCAGAGACTGCCTGCAAGCTGTGCCTGTGCCTGATGGCACCTGCATCAACCACGCTGTTCCTCTGCCTACCTCCCCACAGTGCCCCAGCTGCAGCCAGCTCTCCCTTCACATGCCTCACCCTCAGTTCCTCCAGCTGCTCCTTGCACCATGGAATTAGGTTAGGCAGTTTTATGCCTTTACTATTTGCAGGTGACACTTTAATTTTCAGTCAGCTAAAAACCTAGTGCACAAGGTGCACTCCTGGCTGCTGTTGATGCTGATGCTTTCCAGAACCTCAGAGGTGTGAGGCTGCCTACCAGATGTCAGAAGACAGTGTTGTTTTTTTCCAGCCATTATGATGGGCTTTGTTGCTTTAAATAAAAGAAAGTGTGCAGGGGGATATGTTTGTATGCAAATAACATCAACGCAACCAAACTGCACTAAAATTATAGAAAAATGCATAGTGGTTGGACAACAATGTATTAGTGCGGGTTTCTACTGCTTTTCCATAAAGCTTTTCAGACCAGTGTTAGACTTTGATATGCACTGATCATCTCTGAAAATTAGTTTTTCAGTTACAAGGTGACACAGACAGCATAGGTTGTAGAAGCCGCTCTCCTGGATCTGCTGCTTTGGATCCTTTTTCTGCTGGCACTGGTGATTACAATCTTGCTGTTGGTTTCTGGACCTGGAGGAAGGTGTAGTGCAGCAGCAGGATTCCAGAGTAAAAGTCCAGTACGAGATATTGTGTCTGACATTTTGGTAATAATGCGTATTGATTTTAGATTTGTGATGCTTATTTCTTTGTCTGTTTTCTCACGTAATATTAACAAGGTCCTAATCCAGTGAGCAGAGCTGCTCGCACAAACCTCAGTCTGGTGGAACTTACTTCCACGGTGATCAATCAGATTGTGGAATTGGCCAATAACTTCTCGCATTTGATTACTTGCAGGATTTTGCCCTAATTTAAGGGGGAGTAAAATGTATAGCTAGAGAGGGGAGAATAAAAAGAGTGTTCTGCTCCTCTTCCCATACAAACCCATGGCAAACAGCAATAGTTCTGTGCTAAGCAGTTTTTCTCATGAGCATATCTCAAAATTACTTACACAAGAGGGTAGCATGAATCCTCCCTTTGTGGATGGGGAGGACTGAGCAACAGGATGAAAAATCTTGTTTTGTTTTTCACCACTGAAATGGACGTGTTTATAGGAACCTAATGAATACAGCCTAGGACCTCGGTATGAAATATAGGTATGTCAGGAATGTCCCTTGAGGACAGGTATTGCTTTCAAGCTACAGAGGCAGTGAGCATTCAGGTGTGACTGAGTATAATTCATTAGATCTGTTTCTTCGAAAATTGTGTGAAGCTAAAAGTTTTAAATGGGGCAGGAGCCAGCTGACTTCTAAAATAGCAGAGCACTGTGGCTTATGATGCTTCTATTCATTGGCTGCATTAACAGTATGGCTTTAATAGGACAGCAAAAGAAAATGCAAACATCAGTCTTCAGTGGCTTTAACCTATTTGACATGATTTGAAGCTAGGGCTGTTCAGAAAACGAAGGTCTGTAGTCCATTCCATGCTGTTTTAAAACTAGAAGGAGAGCATTCTTACGCATCTTTAAGGACGTCGTGTCTCAAGAACAACGATAGGGACTGACAGCATGTTTTTCCCCTGACTCAGTA